AGATCCGTATAGGCCAACCTTTTCTGAGCTTATCACATTTCATTCGGTTTCTTCAGTTTCATAAAATAGATTACATTATTTCTCTCACAGTAATACTAAACTTTTGACAGATTTTAAAAACAATGGAAGCTTCACTACCCCCTGAACCCCTGAATCACTCACCACCTTGCTTTTGAAAGTACTTTTGGCACGGGACTATCCAAGCGACGCAATGTAACAAGGCAACTGGTATTTTCAGCTATAAGACGCTTTTAAGTGTTGGGAACAAGAACATATCGATGGGGTAAGCATAAGAGCCCTACACTTACTTTTAGGAGGAGTGTCAAATAAGCAGGGCTCAGGTTTGAAAAGCAGTGAAGATCACCCTGCGCCACAATACGGCTGCAGGTATGGATATCCCATAAGATTTCCTTTGCGAAATCGTGAAACATCATCTGCATAACAAGGCCTACATAAGATCAGAAAGTGATTTCCCGAGTGAGCAGGATGAAAAGAAGAGAAAGGTCGGTTTAGGAAACAGCTGCTGCAATCGCGGTTTTCTAATGAATCAACATAGCGAATTCCTGTTCACCAACGAGAAGGTCTTCACAGTGAAGAGGATGCTGAGTGAGCAGAGCTACAGAAACTATGTGAAACTTGAAGAAATGGAAATGATATAGCGTTAGCGTCATTGACTTCTGTGATAGCTACTGCAAGCATCACCGCCGAGGCGAATACCGATTATTCTTGCAATAAACGAGGTAAAAGTCGATTCGGAGACCTATGTCGCCTTGTACAACTAGACACTTTGGCGATTTATACCGGTCTTATTGTCAAGATGGAGCTCCTGACCACAGATCAGAAAAGGTCCAGGAATTTCCTAGAAAGAGTTCCGCAATTTCATAATCTTCAATCAGTGCCACTTAAGAGCCCTGGACAACCTCGAAAATAATAACATGAATAGCCCGAACAACAACTGAAATAATCTCGAAAATGCTTTGCAAGAAGCTGGGATCAACTCGTTTATTCTAGCTGCGTGCCACCGTCGCCGCTTCCATCGTCGTCTCCGGTGTTGTGTGAAAGCAAAAAGCAGCAGATCTTAGTTCCAATCTACTAATTGAATAAGTGATTAGTAATAGACACTTCTTGAAATTGGTTTGTTTTATTAGCTTTCTATTCATTTTCGTGGACGTGATATCTGTGCCATCATAATTTTGGTCCACCCTATACATCGGCTGGCCACCGCAAGTCATTGTATCGGCTACATACGGATTCCGCCACTACGATTTTGAATGGAAGTCGAACTTTTATACTCAATACTTTTATACTCTTCGACCTTGTGATCTCTAATAATTCCTAACGGAAGCACTTAGCTACAGATTGGTGCTTCCGGTGAGCAATCAATCCTTCATGTAAGCACCAACTCAAGCTGTGTTAAATGTGTCACATCTGATTAGCAAATAATTGATGTGTTAGTGCTCACTGCCAGTGAGCCGTAAACTCGATTCAGACGTGAACACAGAACAATTCTATTCTGTTAAAGGGTTTTGGGCCCCACCGACTACTTGGCGTGTATTGATTATAAGCAAACAATTCCTATCCAGTCAAGTTTTAGCTCCGAAAGCAGTACTGAAGCTCATAAGATTGTGATTCAAGAACTTTTAGAGCGGAATCAAATTTACTTTTGTTGCACACGGGTTTGTACACTTTATCTCGACAGTTCTCGCCATTTTGGTGCGATTCGCATCAAATATAGAGAAGAAAGGATGAAGTCTTGGGCCTACAATCGGTCCCTTTCTGTGATGCGCCTCCACATTCCGCTTCCACTCAGAATCGCAGGAAAAGTTGAAATGTGAGTGTGTCCTATTCAATGGCTCTCGGTGGCCAGCCGATGTAGAAGTCAGTGCACAAATCCTTCCAGAAGAATTTGGTACTGTCTAGACGACTCCGTTAACATGGAAAGCTCAGTTGCCTTGGGCGGGTATCCATCTGGAATTCAATGCGCAGAGCATGAATGCCCTAGTGGGTACCATTTGCCATTATACGTTCACCTCAGATGATCAATTGAAGTATAATGGCAAGTGGTACCCACTAAGGCGAAATTAGAATTGCCTCTATAAACATCTTCAAGTTATTAAAATGAATTTTTCCGAGATGGCTAGAGACAAATTTCTCAGGGGAGTGAATCATATTGGGAGTAATTTTATGTTTGCAGTCGCAGGAAAAGTATGCCTGTCTCCAAGCAGAAAAACTCGCTCTCAACAGCACTAGAAGTATAATATTTGATAGTTGTAGTGCAACGCCTCCGGGTATCATGCCTCACAGTTGCAGCCTATGAGAATTGACTAGGTTCCTTTGAATGGTGCAGAATTCGCAACCGTGTGACAGAGGTAAAGCTAAAGGGGTAGAGAGGATACATATGTTTGAACAATAACTCTGTTCTGAACAACGACTGCACGGCGCGTAGTTGATTTATGGACTCACTCAATTAGGTTAGCGTGAAATCTATCTTCTTATCTTCAAGAATTAGTGTGTCATGATATACTGAACTCAAGAAAGCGTCGACCACTTTTCCATTCAGTACGGAACAAGAGTAGAAAGATGTTTTTGCAGTTAATTAGTCCCGTTTCTATGACGAACTCCTGCATTCGACTTTCATTCAGAACGGCAGACGTTTGGAGTACGTGTGTGGACTATGCAATGGTTTGTGGAGGCCAGTGGATAAACAAGTTAGCGACTTCATCCTCCTAGACGAGTCTGGTACCAGGCTAATCGACCCCACAGTGATGGAATGGTATTTATTATATCTCGGGTTCGATCCATGGTCTATGAGTGTGTTGCGTCACGTGCCACAACACTACCTCTCTTCGTAACATAAAATAAGCAGCAATTATTAATTTAATGCATGCTCTCCAAAGTAGGAGTGTTGAGCAGATTTTCTCGAACGAGCATAGATAATAGAAATCATTCCCTCCAACAAAACTCTTTCCCACTCTATTTCCAACTTTTTCACTTCCGTATGCTATCTCTAGCTGCCTCAAGCCTTTGTTTTTCTGCAGGAGTGGTCATGAAAAAGCGTAATTGCGAAATTTTCTTCATTATTTTAGGCCTATTTCCCCTTGTCGTTGAGAATATACGTTTGCTCGTTGGCTATATGGCTGTGAGTTTACCCCAAAACGGGAACTTCCAGCCACGTCCATTCAGGTATTGATTTACCAGTGTTGCACTTGGAGTTCCCGTTCAGGACTACATCTGGAAGCATACATATTAAAAACGAAGGGACCAAACACCTCTCTTATTGATTCATTGCTTTACTTAACTTGAGTTTCTCCTACGCGTTCCCGTTCCGAATTTTGATGTAAATGATGCTATAACACCTTTTTACCCTTGTTTGAGGAGTTTTTCAAAGTTGGAAAGCTTACTAGAGAGACTTATAACAAGTATATAAATAGTAGATTAGCAGTCATCGCCAATCTTTTTCTTTTAAACAACATAAAACATCACTGAACATTATTAAAACAGTTACTTGGCGAATGCAGCAACTACTGTGTTTATACTGATCCAGAAACACGCTTTTAGGTCAGGAATCAAGGTCACAGCGTGCGAGAGCGACAAAGTAGCCGGGCTCGTTCCTTCGCGAACGTCCTAGGAAAGGAGTTCTCTGAGCACGGTTTCTTCCGAGTACAAGTGACGTAGGCTCAGAGCAAACGGTGAAGATTCTCTGAATGTTCGCTTAGAGTTTTCAAGTCCCTGAAAAGTCGGGTTTCAATTTTCTGTCGAAAAGGCTGTGTAGACATGAACCAGTTTCGTGTAATTCATCAAGGTGAAAGCGCTCTCAACGGCGACTCATCCTCTCGAGCAATTGCATTACCTATATTTTACAATGTTAACAAACAGCCCCTTCAAAGTTAGTTGGTTGAAGAGAATCGCTCATTGTCGTACACCGAAACCCTTGAACCTCTTATCCTACCACTCCTAGATAATAAGCACTCGGATTAATTTTATATAATCTATTTCTCCACTGTTCTTGATACCAACAAATAGAAATAATCCTTCCCACCCCACATATTTAGGTCTTGCATTCTACTTCCCTACGGATCTCTTTCACTGAGGGTTTTCCACTGGAGGGTCCCAACCGATTAGCGACGAGGTTACGTAGGGCGTCCACAGGTGGCGAACAGGAGAGTAAATTGTCGTCCTGAAAACGTTAGTATTTGCCCAGGGACGCAAGTGGATTCGGGGGGGGGGAAGGCGGATTCACTGAATCTGCCGTGCTGGTCAATGTACCCTCTGTTTCTCGCTGGTCCATACATGCATGGGTGTTTGGAGAGTCTCAGGGTGCGAATGGTATCCTGCATATACTCAGTCAAAAGCGTGCACTCGAGTGACTGAGACCACTCAGAGCCTGCTTTCTACTTGTGGGACCCTCTACATAAAAAGAAATGAAATGGGCCTTATTCTCGTGAAAAAGAAGCTCTCTAACACGCAGCGTTGAATAGGGTTCTTGGAGATAAGCTGCTTATTGGGGGGGGGGGGGGG